GTGATTTCATAGTGTAGCAGTTAGCACGTCTGCTACACACGCAGAAGGTCCTGGGTTCCCGCCCCAGTGGAGCCACGGTCTATGGTCTACAGCCATGCCACTCTGAACAAGCCTGATGTCTGATCTCAGAAGCTAAACAGGGTCAGGCTTGGTAAGTACTTAGATGAGAGACTACCTAGGAAGACCAGGTGCTGTAGGCATAAATTAAAAAAAAAAAATTTCTTGTGCACAGATTTCTATCATACAAAAATTTTGCTCCAATTATTTTTTTTAATTCCAGCATTATTGAGGTATAACTGACATATAAAACTGTAAGATATTTAAAGTATACATTGTGGTGATTTGATAAACATATACGTTGTGAAAGGATTCCCGTCTCGTTAATCAGAGATGATTCTTACTGTAACTCCGACAAGCCAAAATTCAGATCATGTTTTGCTAGAAGTCACTCTCTCACATTTTATGATCCTAGTAATGGTTTTCAAACTGTGGTCCCTTGACCAGCAGTGCCCAGTGACACCCGGAACTTATTTGAAACACCTGGAAGAAATTCAAAATCTTGGGAATCACTTAGACCCACTGAATCAGAAAATTTGGGGGTAGGGACCAGCAATCTGTAATTTCACAGGTCTTCCAGGTGATTTAATGCACACTAAAGTATTGCTCAGGGGCAGGGAGGGTTAAATCTATAGATTAAAGCTATTAGTTTCTACACCAGAGAAGATTGAGGCTTGCTTCTACTCTCATTGATTCTTCAATCTAACTTGATGGATAAACCAGATTTAAGAGATGCTACAAGAACAATATAAGACTTTTACGGCAGTTCAAGGCAACATCAGAATGAACATGACAAAGATATTGCTGTCAAATGTATCCCTTAAAATGGCTTCTGTAACCCTGGCCTCTGCCTCTTCTATCCACCACCAATTTCAAGTTGTTCTGTCCTTTTTCCACCTCTGGAGAATTCCAAGCAAAGCAGAAATTTTGAAGGTAATGCAAGTAATAACTATTGCATTTTTTTATAATGCTCTATTTCCTTTTAAGGACATATATATAGATCAGGTTATTTGATACTCACAATTATCCTATAAAGTTTAACCTATTGGGAAATTTGTGTGCCAATTTAGAACCTTCGAATAAAGTCTCTAAATTAACAACCACTTTTTTGAGAAGAGACTATTTGAGGCATTTTCATATAAAAATTATTTCTAACCTTTACCACTCTGTAAGCTGTCCCAAGATGGCAAATATACTCAACTTAAGAATGTAGAAAATGTATTAAAACATATACCATAAAATTACATTAAAATGAAATATAATCATTTCATGGAGTATATTAAATCCTATGTGAATTTAATATGGTGCTATTTATTACCAAAAAATGATGCTATTGTAAGACAGAAGCTTTCATTTCCCACTAATGAGGGTAAAGGAAAGGAAATGACAATATATGATTTCAAAAATTCCTGCTCTAAAAATGTCTTTATTTTCCTTCTACAATTCCTTAAAATATCAGAATATAACACTTACTATTTTTCCTGAAAAATCTAAGGTTACTTTCAAAACTGAGATAATTAAATAGCTCTAAAACATGATAATTATTTTATAACCTAATAGAAGTGGTAGCAATAAAATCCCCTCCTTCTTGTAGATTTCCTTGTTCTAGCTGCTTTAGTTCCTCACTTGATGGGTGGCTTCTATGAGATTCAAACATCTCAACCACACTGGCCTCTATGACATCTTCATGGCTAAGACCATTTGCAAAGGGCATGTTTTATTGAATTCACAGTGTAGTTTCAATTTTGAGAGACTCGTGACTTTTGTGATCACCCATGAGACAGATCTTCTTCCACAGAGCATTCTTTGTTAGTGAATGAACTCTGCCAAGACCAGGCCCTGGTCTGGGCTGTCCATGATACTACAGACTCACTAACTGTAGGCTTATCTGCTTCATTACTTTGAAGATGCTGACAAGAAGTTCTGCACAGGCATTAAACCTTGAAAGTGGTGTTCTCACTTTGATTTACTGGCTATGAAATACTTCTCCCTCACATTACCGGATACATCACCTCAATTTATGGGCTTGCCTGTGTATTATCGACTTGGGGTATAGAATAAAAGGGAAGAAAGTATAAGTGAGCCATCGCTGAAATTGTCCCACCTTACCATTAAATCACAAAATTGCTCTCAGTTTAGCCAAGGAGCAGGCCTGGGGAGCTCCAGGATTTCCAAATAGTAGATTAGTAAACACCTCACTTTAAAAATCATCTTCAGCATAGCTTCAAGTGATATTTGGCTGCTTTAACCTGGGGCACTATTTTCTTCCACTGAAATAAAAGTCTTTTGGGCAATCTTTTCCAATCAAACTCTGTCATATCTACTGAAAAGTTTGTTTCTATAAGGGAGGCCAACAGGTTAGGAGACTTGCAAGAGTTGTATGTGTCAGAACTGCCATCTTTCCTGTTCATCTTAATGCTCTGCAATTTATCCGTCTCTTGTAATCTTACAAATCATTGTCTACTGCCCATTAGAAATTTCCATTTCAAAACCATGACTTCTTCAAATCATGAGCCCTCAATAGTCGTGGCTTCTAAAAAGTCACGGTGCTCAGCTATAGCACTTCTGATCCTATGCCCATGTGTACTGAATGAGTCGCCATCAAAATATGTTTATGATAAATCAATTTACTAGCACCTAAAAGTCTAAGTGCTTGACAATCATTAAACAAATATTTTCTCAATTTTGTATAACAGAACATAAAGGGAATGACTCCAAGTACTTTTGCCATTTAGCCAAGTTTTAATCTTTGTCAAATTGCCTTAACACTTAAGGTTTTACATTTAACTAATTGACAAACAGTTTCCTTTTCCTTTGGCATTCTTCACTGTCTGGCTTCTTTCCATAGATCTTTTAGTACAGGTTTAAAACTGGTGTGAACATGCACTCCTGGCAAATGCATTTTTAGAACTTTAAAAGGAAGGCTTAAAATTTTTACTTTTTAAGTTTTCTTCTTGCCTTGTTCTGCTCTGGGTTTGTTGTCTACTCAGCAAAACAGAAGGCATAATCAATTAAAAAAAAAAAAAGGGCAAGAACAAAGAAAGTAAAATAGAACCCTGGGGGAAGAAGGAATAAAGAAGTAGGGAAGATAAACTTTCAGAGTTATAAGCTAACTCGAGAAGTAAAATTCCAGGAACACAGTTAAGGAAGAGGCCACCTATCTGTTTTAAATGTTCCATAGAAGCAGAAAATTCAAATTAATCTGAAGATGCTCTGTTGACAGTGTGGCAACTTAGGCTCCTAACCCATTAAGGCACCTCACCTGCATTAAAGCTGGAGGCCCAAACTAAGGACTCAAAATCTTTTTGAAGACAAATATATAAAAGCATCATAAACTGCTTGCAATGACAAAGCCATTTCAAACTAAATCTCTTAAAAACTTTAAAAACACTATCAGACATACAAAAATACATACCAAGACAAATGTGACCACTAAGTTTTGAAAATGAGCCATATATATGTATGTTACATATAGCAAAGGTACTATAACGTTTTGATAGAGACATCGTGGCTTCCCAAATCCATTTCTAAGAGCAAGATTAGCTCACCACCAGATATGCTGAATGTTGGGCCATTTTTCAACTGATTTTGGTTAGATCTGTTGTGTTCCAGGTCTTTAGTAAAATCATCTATTTATGGACTGAAGAAGTAGGGAATGCTATACATATCTAATATAAAATATGTGTGTGTGCTGATAACATTGTACATTGGCATATTTCGTATGTATATATGTACCTGTACCTGAAACCTCTGTAAGATTTGGTCAGTCATTTAAATCAGTTTTAATCTCATCTCCTAGGGGTTCAAAAAGCAGAGGGGCTTTGTTCTCTTCAAGAGTAAGTAGCCAAAGCAACTGATAAAGGGCCACTGACACTAGACAACATGAAGAATATCTTGATGAGTGACCTTCATGAAATACTGTAGTTGTTTAACGTCCTTTCCCCTGAATTTGGATCAACTGAACTGTTGATTTTAAAAAGTTATATAAGCCATGTCTTGCTTCTATTCCATTGTTACATATCAGTAAGTTCTTAATTTTGTATGGCTTATTAGTACTTTTAAAAAGAAAAAAATAAATAGTCTGCTGCCAAAACCTGGCTCTGGAATCAGATGCGGGTAGGAGTGAGATTTACAATCCACAGAAAACAGATAATTCCCATTGTCTGGAATGTGCAGCTGATTAGACTTTTGCTTTCACATTCATAGCATGACAGTAAGAGCTTTCCATTCCTGAGGATGATAACCAATTGTGTTTGCACTAGTATAAAACCATTCATTATAAGAGTGGAAAACGTATAAAAATCCAGGCTAAGTAAACAAAAAAGGAACTTCCCTGTTGTATATTAATCCTTTCTTATTTTTCACTATAAACGTGAAAATTTCCAAATATAGAGTCATCTATTATTATTCAGACCCAGGCAGAAGGAAGCAGGTCTGCGAGTGCCATTCCATCCTCTCTCCACCAATGATTAACAAACAATAATGAACATCCTTCTTATAAGTCTGTTTAGTGGTGTGACATTTTTCTTAGGGACCTGGGGCTTCCTTTTAAAATGCAAAAAAGACAAGGACTGTTCCATTAAGAAATCCACATGGTGCCTGTTACCTGCTCAAGGGGGAAGTATTTCCTTTGAGTCTAAATCAAGTTAATAAATTTAAGATACCTGAGAAGATTGGGTGCACTGAACTTTTAGCTGAAGTCCAGAACTAAAAGAGCTAATGCATTAATTTACTTTGTTTCTTTATGTGAAAAAACAGTCTGCTGCCAAACCCAGCTTAGAATGCAAATGGGGAGGGTGGGGAGAAGGATAATGTGTAGTCCATTGATAAAGCGCAATAAAGATGATCTTAGGAGAACTGTTCTCATGTGAGCATTCCCTTTAACCAGAGTGAAGGGCCTAGAGACTAGCTGATGTGATTGGGTCTGCCTTTGCTGTCATTACCTGGATAGAGGTCAGGTCCCGGCCCTGGGGAGCATCCCACTGTCCCATCTGCAGCAGCATCTCGTGGGGAAGTGGCCGGCTGAAGGGGTTGCACGGTTAGGCAATCTGTGAGAAGGTCAGGATGGAGCTCTGCGCTGGACCGCAGCTAAGAGAAAGAGAAAACAGAAGACACATGGAAAAGGAAAGCTGTTCCTTGGAATACTTTACTGGAAAGGCATCATGCCCTAAGGTTCAATGCACTTCAATACACAAATATTTACCAAGCAACAACTATGAGTTAGGCATTGAGCTTCACAGTCAATATAAGGGGCAGTTTTTCAATCCTAATAACTGGCAGGTGCTTCTGGAAAAATGTGGCTAGAAGCAGATTTGACTTCAGTCCTTGATATTTCGACTTCTAAGAACCAACTTCCTATGATATTTTCTTTTACTTGCTCTGTATCTTATCAGAACTTGTAGTGATAACAAAAACAAACTCAAGTATATTTAGTCCAGATAGGAAAATCCTTTTAAAATGCAGAGATACCACCATGAAAATATCTTGGAGAAAATTAAGAAATGTCCACTGAGATTTGGTGCTTAGAGATTTTACATGAGAGAAAAATACAGAAGTTAAATTTTAAAATATTACGGAACATGATTAAAAGAAAACCAATGTTATTAACAGAAACAGAACCCCAAAAGCATCACGTGAAAAAAAATTTAGATCTTCATTTATCACAACAAAATAAATTATTTATTAAAGAATTATATGTAAAAAATCGAGTCATAAAAATGTTAGAATACAAGTCTAGGTGAAAAATTATCTGATTTCTTTATAAAAAAGAATTTTGTAAGTGTAATTCAAATAGAAAAAAATCACAATTCAAGGTTTAGTTACATAAAAATATTTACCTTCTGCTTATATAAAAACATAATACCTTAAAAATCTAGAAATATATTTGTTACAGATATTGCAAACAGTTACTATCTCCAGTATTTAAAGGGAGCATAATAATTGATATTGTCTTTATCAAGACAAACTAAACCTTTAGATATAGGACTGGAGTATACTTACTCATCCAACAAATATTTACTGAGTGTCAGATATTCCTCTAGACTCTAAGAATAGTATATTATGGAACTTATACTCTAAGGGGGAAGCAGATGAACAAATAAAATATATATAGTATCAGATGGGGATAAATGCTATGGAGAAAGAAGACAATGAATAGGGGTGAAGGATGGCAATTTTAGAGAAGGGATCAAGGAAAATCTCTTGAAGATGGCACTTATGAAAAGCCTTGAAAGAAGTAAAGGAGTGGGCCCTGCAGATGTGGGAAGAACCTGTCTGCCTTGTGGTATGCCTGGATTATTTGAGGAATAGTAAGGCTAGAGTGGTGTGAGCCTGGGGCCTACGGAAGAGGAATAGAAGATGAAACCAGGAATGTAAGTGGGGAGAGTGAGGGAGTAGGTTTAGTGTCCATCTCTTCCTCCCTCCCAGATTAGGTGACCAGGAAAGGGCCTTCCAGAACATTTAAGGCTTTTAAACTTTCTCTGGTGCAAGAATTATCTAATGATTTAGGCGAGAGGCACATAGCCAAATTTCCTGGGCAGGGATTGCCTCACTATGCAGCCCTTGATATGAACATAAGATTTTTAAAAGATGAAACAGAAATGACAATAAACATAAAAATGTTCAGCACACTTGCAAAAAAATGCAATGTTACAGCTTTTTAAAAACTTATCAATTATCAAAACTTTAAAAAATATAGTGGTAGTGAAGGTACAGTAAGAGAGGCATTCTTGAGCACTGTTGCTAGGGATGTACATTGGTACAAACTCTCTAAATGGTATCTGGCAATATTTTTCAAGACCCATTATATAAACCATTTGATCATAGAATCTGTCTTAAGGAAACAGCCAGAAGAAAGGTGAAGGAAGATTTATATCCAATGTTCCTATGTTATATAGCATTACTTATAGCAATATCAAAATTAGGAAATATTACTTAAATGTCCACAATTAGGGCTAATAAGTGATCTTATATCGATTTGATGGAATATTATGTAGTCATTGAAGTAATGCTAATGAAAATAAAAGCAAATCACAAAATTATATGTACAAATTAACGATTACATAAAAACACAAATGCAAAATACTGTAAGAAAATGTAATTCAATATTAAAACTGATTTTTGTTCCTAGTGGCAATATTGTGAATTTATTTCCTCTGCATTTTTAAAAATCCTTACCCCTGCTTTCCAAATTATCTACATTCCAATGACTTGTTGGAGTTGGCTTGCACCAATCCAGGAGCATCAATCATGTGTAACTTTTCCAAACTTTCCATGCAATGATGTCAGAGTGATAGCTTGAAATTGATCATGGTAAAAATATTTACACTGTGGAAACTGGCAAATGTTAAAAACTGGGGCTTTTTTGTTTTACATGGAGAGCTAGTTGTTAAACATGACCAGCACACCACCAACAATAACTCTGAACCACACTGATCAGAAACACACACACACACACACACACACACACACACACACACACACATGAGACATCAGTAAGTTACTATTTAGATAGCAGTATTTCTTGGATCTCAAAAAGCTTCATAAAGAGACAAACAGATGTCCAGGTCTTAGTCCAAGAATATGAAAATGACATAGTGACCCTAAATATAAGGAGGAAGCATTTAGCACATGGACTGAATGAGACATAATTATATTATAATTTCCTCAGCTTTGCCACACTGGAATCTCTGATCAAAACAGTCTGAGTTAATGCCTAACCCTCTTGGGACCTTTGGAAAGTATGTTTCTTACTTTGGTACTAACCTAACACATACCATGTAAGAAAAACTAGAAAAAAATCAAGGCTTAGAATGAGTTCTGGTGATCACTTTTAATTTATCTTCCATCTTTAAAATGTGATCTGGGGCCCACATGTTCTATTAAGTATAGACATGAACGTCTCTCTGCTTTCTATTACCAAGTGTTCTGGGGTTTTACAATTATCAGTACTGATGAGGTCTTTCCAAGGAATTTCACGGCCACGGTTACTCCTGGAGTCAAAGGCAGGCAATTCTTCCTTAACTTCAACAAGTATTCATGTTTTCCAAGAGTGTGATCCCATACAACTTTGTGGTGAGAGTTAATTTGGTTTTCTCTGGGATTAGGCATGGTTCTAGGAAGTGCTTCTTAAATTGAACAAGTCTTAAGAATCTTATGCAAAATTTCTAAAGGCGGGTCATATGCATAGAAATGCAGTAATCATATATAAGTTTAGTAACCTTATTATTAGACCAGGACAGGGCCTTCCCAAACCATTTTAGGCTCTTAAACATTCTCTAGTCCAGCAATTATCTATTGGGTGAGGCAGGAGGCACACAGCAGAATCTTCTGGGAAAAATGTCTTTCAATGAAATACAGTTTTAAATTTATATAAAACAAACTACATAATATATATTTCAACCACATCTTCTTAGCTGCTAGAAATATCAAAAAGACAGATGAAAATTTTTCAATGGAAGATTGTCTCTAACTGTGGTTCTCAAACCTGAGTATACACCAGAATCACCTGCAGGCCCTGCCCAGAGCTGCTGATTCAGTGGATCTAGGGGGCACTTCTAACAAGTTCTCATGTCATAATGATGCTGTTGGTTTGAGAACCATACTTTCAGAATCACCAGTCTCTAAGAATCCTGATGAGGAGAGCTAGATATTTTTGGTTGTGAGGAGAGGAAACAAATTGTGGAAATAGGAAATTATAAAAACTAAGTAATGCATAAACCTCATGTAACCATTTCTTATTATGTCTCTCTTCAGATCTCATAATAATAACTGGTTACATGAGATTTGTGTCTTAAAAACAATTTGAATGTATATTTTCTTTCATAGGAATAAAAAAGGTTAAAGAATTAAATCCAATTTAATACCTTCTCTTAGGAGAGAGCAAAGGACTTGCCATTTATGGAACCTTTACTGCTCTTTATGGAAAGAAGTGGAATTTGAAAGCGCCGACGATCAATTTGTCTAGTTTAAAAGGCTGCTGTGTTGGACAACACCAGGGACCTTTATTCACGTTGTAATCTATGTGAACAATGCCCCTGGAGTTGTTCAACAAAGCTGCCCTACCCATATCCCATTAGTTTCAGAGTAGTACTGCCTTTCCTTACCCTTCTCACTCATTCACTGAACAAATATTTCTTGGGCCTCAATCATATGCCCAGCACTATGGTATGGGCTTCAAATACATCAGCAATGAAAACAGATACTCATTGAGGGGTTTATGTAGAGGAGGCAGTAAACAGTAAATAAATTAATTAAATAAGTAAATTGTATAGCAGTTGGTAAGTACTATGGAAAAAAGAAAAAAGGGAAGGTTAAGCAGGATTGAGAACACTGGAAGAATTGTGACCTTGTTGATAAAAGATATTTGAGCGAAGACTTGAAGGAATGGAGGAAATTAGCTGAGTGCATATGGAGGTGAAGAGAGTTCCAGAAGGAGGGAACTGCAAGGAGGCCAGTGTGCCTGCAGTGGGGTGTGACCTAGAGAGTAGAAAATGAGGTCTGAGAGGTGGAGTGGGGCAGGTCCAGACCATGCAGTATCCTGCAGCCCTCAATGAGCACTTTGGCTTTTAGTCTTAGTGTAGTAGGGAACTCTTATAAGGTCTCCATTATTTGCTTCCTGGGAGACTCATCTCATCCTCTATTATTATGCACAGCTGTAGAGGCACTTTCTCTTCCCTTCTTTGAGAGTCCACTTGACCTCTGAGTTATGGACATACACTGATGGTTAGTCCTGTGTCAACTTGGCTAGGCTACAGTACCTTATTATTCAAACACTAGGTGATGCTGTGAAGGAATTCTATGGATGGAGTTAGCATCTACAGTCAGTTGACTGTAAGAAAAGGAGATTATCTTCTATAATTTGGGTGGGCCTCACCTAATCAGTGAAAGGCCTCAAGAGCAAAATAGGTGAGATTTCCCTGAAAAAGAATACACTCCTCCTCTAGACCACAGCATCATCTCTTGCCAGAGTTCCCAACCCTACAGATTTCTAACTAGCCAACTTCCACAATCATGGAAGTTAATTCCTTTCCTTGAATTCAATTAATTTCTCTCTTCCTTCCCCACTCCCAACTTGTTCTGTTTCTCTG